TAATAATAAAATACTAATAATAATAAAAATGATCGAATGAAACAATTATAAATTATTTAAAATCAAAATATAACTAATAAAAAAAAAAAAAAAATGAATGAAAAATAAGTAGAAAAAAATTTTCTTCAAACTTTACTTATTAGTTTCATCAATTGTCAAATATCAATGCAATTGATATGTAATATATATAATATAATTTAATTATATTATATATAAATAATGTAATTATACTTGAATAAAATATCGATATTATTAAAAAAAATTTTTTTATGTTAATTATTATATTTTATTATCGAATATAAAAAATTATAAACAATCATTTGACATTAATTTCTTTTAATCTTAGATTTATTAGGAAATTGAATGCAGTTCCTTTGTTTGAAAAATATTGTAAATTTATAAAAAAAAAAAAAAAAGAAAGAAATATTTTCTGATATATTTACTATTATTTTTCGCTACTTTTACCTATTGCAGAAACGGAATTATATTTTTCTTCCTTTTGTTTTCTTTTCCATGTTTTTTCTTGTCCATTTTATTTATTATCTTTTTCTCTTTATAAAAGATTCACGATTATTCTTGATCATATTCACTAATGTGTTATCTGGTTTGAGAATTAAAAATGAAATCATTATAACGTGTTTATTAACCCTAAATTATTATGCGACATATGAACGCACAAATGTTGAAAAAAGAAAAAAATAAGCTTTAATTATCACGTTATATAGTGGATGTAGGATCGACCTTTAACATTAATGTAAAACCGATAATTGTGTCTGATTTCTTTGCATATAAATTATCATTAAAGAAAAAAAAAAAAAAATAAAAATAATCTTTAGAAAAGAAAAATTTGTGGAATGTGAAATCGTGAAATTATTTATGATTGTTTGTTTTAATTTCTTTTGTATCTTGAAAGAATCGAAAGATGTTCATATATCGAATGAAATAAAAGGAAAAATATAATATAAGATGGTTGAAAATATTTATAATCAACATAAGGTAGAACTATCTACATACAATACAATACTATCTACATACTAATACAATAGTAGCACAATAGTATGATATGCTACGTAAAACGTGATACGGAGCAATTGAATGCGTTTAAATATTTGAGTATTTTTTGCATCGGCCGAAGAAAACGAAAAGAGAAAAGAAAGAAAGAAAGAAAAAAAAATATATGACAAATATTTAACTTTTTAAGATAAAAATTTAATCGAAAACTCGATCGAATATAAATCAATTAATTTTTATGATACGACAATTTTTCGACAATTTTTCGAATAAAAATGGATTTAAATATTATTTTAGGAGCGACAAAAAAGAGGAAGAAAAAAATTGAAATAAAGGAGAAACGGTCGAACTATACGCGATGAAACGAAAGGGAAGGTTACTCGACATAGAAATAGATCGGTTAGCAGCGCATGTAATCTGCCTTTGATCGTTTCACGGTAGATCAGCTTCGATATATGAAGAGTATACCCTTAAATCTCTGTTCTACACATATATTTTTAGCACGTGAATCGAACGACTCACGCGAAATGATCAGAAATCGTTCGATTTTCTTGTATATACATTTCGTTCCTATTTTTGTTATGAACATGGTAAATATTTTTTGAATAACAAAAATAACAAAAAAAATCGTGAATTCAATAAATATATAATAAGAATTAATATTTTGAAATTGGTAATGATTAGGAAAATGCTATTGAATATTATATATTTTATGTCTATTATTGAAAAGAGAAAATTGATATAATTTACAATTGATAATAATGATTATCTTATTTTTTCTTGAATCTGCATTAGTAACGTGATTCATATATTTATGTATATGTGTATATGCAATTATATACGAATCCACATAAAAAATTTTCTTCCAATAAACGAATCAAATAAGAATAATAATTTTAACGAAAAAAATAAAAAATTGAAAAAATTGAAAAAAAAAATGTTGTTCGAAAGCTAGTTAACGAAAAGAAACTAGTTCGTAAGAATTTATATCGAAGAATTTCGAGGTTGGATTAGAAAGAGATAATTATTCGCGTTTATTCTCGGTTTATCGGCAAAATTCCACAAGACTTGTTTGGTCTTGAATTGAGAAAATCGATGAATAAATAGGGTAAGCGTGTAGCGAACGGAAACGAGATACATCTGGCCCGCAAAGTTGGTTTCGCGCGCGACCAACTCTTGAACGAAGCAACGGGATTGTCTGTATTATTTAAATATCTATCTATTAAGAGACTACGCGACGTGTCATGCTTTGAATCGTTGATAATATAGTCTATTAATCAACTATTCAACTATCAATCTTTACATTTATTATATATAATATATCTTGCTTAAATAGGGTTTAACTAAATATATCTTTTAATTAAATAGGTTTTAACCAACATTATCATAACATTATTATACATTCAAATCGAGTCGTAATTTATTCTTGACAAATGAAACATCAAACTTTGGTTTGATATTGTTATTTTTACAATATGATTGGAAAGGATTGCGAGGGTGATCGAATGATTCTACATATTATTTTTACGTACTATTTCTCTTTGATTCAAATATTGCAAATATATTATGTATTTATATAAATATGCTCTTATACGCATTTTACTTTTCTATCAAAATTTGCAAATTATGCATTGCATTCATAATCTTTTAGGAATTATTGGAAAGTTTACAATTCGAATCTAATAGAAATATGATTTTACGATATTTAGTTTAGTCGAAAGAAAATATATCAGATAATATATATTAAGAAAAAGAGGCTAATAGAATAGCATTTTCGACAATCTGTAATTGAACAATAACTAATTGGATAGATACAAATGAAATTGTAAATCTCTAAATTTTTTTACTGATTGATGTATATACATATATATAAATAGAACGTACTTATATATGGTAGCGTTATTCATATTTTGTGATAATTGCGTCAATTAATTTTGATACATCGATAATAACGGATCGAAAGCGTTAACATAACGAATGAACTTTTTTCTTAATTAAAAATTTTCACTAAAAATATATTAATTAAAAAAATATATATTGATGAAAAGTTAATGATAGTAGTAACGATTATTGTTCGTTGAAACAAATCGCATAGCGTGTTACAAACTACAAACGATAATAATAAATCAATAACTAGATTAATGCAGTAACGTATAATTTTTATTTTGGAATTATATCTTTTATGGATGAGTATTTTTCGTTGATAAGAAACAGAAAGGAAAACTGAAAAATAAATTGTAAAAATAATTGTAATACGATCAACACAATTCGAACAAATGTCATGCGAAATAAAATATAATGGAATTATTTTTAATTATTGAATTTATATTATACGAAGATTTTAATTTTTTCATTTAAATCCTTTTATGTATTACCACGTAGATCGTTTAAAAATGCAGATAACGCATTGGCTGATCAATTTCATTTTGTCGTATATGTCATATATATACGTATTCGTGTATAAATTTTGTCAAATATAAATTTTATAAAATTATATAATTTAATTTTTTTAATTTCTTCAATTATTTTAAATTTCACAAAATGTATAAAATA